ATAAATTTACCCAGGTAAGGTGAGGACCTCGCCTAGATTGCTTCCAGGGCTCTTTAAAGAATAAAACCAGGCCACTGACAACCGACAGGATATTCTGCTCCTGCCTTTTACTCCTCAAGCCTTCACAGAGTTGTAAACTATCTACCACAATGTTGTTGATTAGAAACTGCTCGTGCACACGGTGCAACAGTAATTAATGTTCCCCGTGTTGACTCTCAGGAACTACCATACCGTGAAGCACCTTTCAGAATTATCAAGGAGGAATTAAATTATGCTCAGTATAGTTTTAGAGCAATTTTAGGTGGGATTTAGAGCACCTCTACCAGAGATGTGCTAGAGCTGGCATCTGAAAGCAAACCTTAAATAGTAAGGAATTTTTGTGAGCCAGGTATTAAGCTTTGAAATTGGCCATGGTGGGAGTATTTATATCACAGCAATTGACGGCAGCTGTTTATCTGGGGTCCTTTCTCCAGGGAACTGGCTTACCAACACATCACTATCTATACCTTTGGAACTACATATCCTATTAGCTGGAACAGCCTGTCTCACTCATGCTTAAAGGAAGAAAAGCTTACTAGTGAGTCTTGCTAGATTGAAAAAGTCAATTAATAGCTGTATTTGTTCCCCATGGCTGCTGCAACAAATTGCCACAAATGTGGTGGTTTAAAACAACCAAAAATTATTCTTTCTCATTTCTGGAGGTCAGGAGGGCAAAATCAGTATGACTGAGCTCAAATCAAAGTGTTGGGAGGACTGCACTACTGAGGGGGACACCACAGCTCCTTGTGGCTGCCAGTGGTCCTTGATTTACAACACACACTCTGTTTTTCAAGACATTCTCGAAGTTCTCTCTCCACTTTTCCACATTGCCTTCTCCACTTACAAGGGCACTTATGATTGCTTCCACGACCTGCCCCGATAATCCAGGACAAGCTCATCTCAATCACATCTACAAAGACTCCTTTTCCAAATAAGATTACATGAAGAGTTCCTAGTGTTTAGGACTTGGGATCTTTGCATCATTTTCAACCTACCACAATACCCATCTCAATAGTCCCTTATACATACAGACACACTTCACCTGTGTAATGTCCTTCACAAATGACGAGGTCTTTGGGAAAACCATAGATCTTTGGAAAGTCTTATTTGTTTATTTATTTATTTTTTTTTTGGTTAAGACAAGTTTTATTTATATTTTTAGTACATTGTCTAGTCTTCAGCATGATGTTACAAAATATTTTTGAGAATAAGTCTTCTGGCTTCGGCTTATTCTAGCCAATTCTGTACTTTCCCTCCCTCTTTATTTCTATTCTATGCTATTTTAACAACACTGAGAATTAAGCTTTTTGATATGTTATATAAAAGAAACTCTAGTATTATGTTCTTTAAGAAGTTGCTTTCCAGGCTATGAGAACAATACGTAAAGAACATTGGGTAATAGGTCTACCTATATATTAAATAGCTTTCAGTTGTGATTT